TAAATATTTTCACGTTTTGATCTATGAACACACAGTTATAACCTGCTTATGGCTTTTTAAACTTTATTGTGTCTGATTGTGTTTTTTAAAATCTTTATATAGGCTTCAAAATGTATAAATTTTGGATTAACTTGTAAAGATTATCTTGCTAGACAAAACGTGTAAGGGTCACAACTCTTTGTTAAACACAGATCTTATTTTTTGCGATTTTCCAAAAGTCTATGGGGAAAATGCATTGCTTTTCGACCGAGGGAACCCATGCGCCGCTAGCTTCCGAGTTGTCCTACAAAGTGACGTCATCACTTCGGCACTCAAACCCCCAATATTCTCACACATGTTTGTTCTTAGAAGTAAAAAGAAGTGGAAAATACCTTTACATTGATATACATTAAACGCTGTAGAGAGCGAGCTTTAAAAGCAGCACTGGATGGACTTGTAAGTAAATCTCTTATTTCTAAACTTGTTTGCTGCCTATGTTGTAGGCTATGTAGCTGCGCTGGCTTGTAGTATGTCATTTTTACGGTGCTGCTCATTCATCCAGTGAAGGAATTAGAGGAGGAAATAAAGATGACATTATATAATAATACTGTAATTTTGGGCGAAATATGATTGGAAAAAATACACTTTACCTGAAATCTAATTCCTAAAGCCACCAGCAAGTGTCAGTCTCGAGCAGAAATACAGACAACACACACGCACTGCATAACAAGAAATACATATAGTCAAGTCAAGTCACATTTATTTATATAGCGCTTTTCACAATACAGATTGTATCAAAGCAGCTTCACAGTGATAACATGTAAGTAGCACAACACAGATCAACAACATTGCTAAACACTAAATAAATAACCCCAACTGAGCAAGCTCAAAGCAAGCCAAAAGCAAGGCGACATAGGCGATATAGCCTACAAGAAATACTGACAGTGTTGGGTGTAACTAATTACTAAGTAATTAGTTACTGTAATTTAATTACTTTTCCATTGAAAATGTAAAGTAAGGGATTACTCTTCATTTATCTGTAATTTAATTACAGTTACTTCTGATGTAATTGAGGTAAATACTGTGTATAGATCAATCCGATCTCACAGCGATTCGTATGAGGCGTCTAAATATTACGACCGCACTCGTACAAATTCGTATGAATTATTGTAAAATATATATGAAAAAAGTGTGTAATGTCATGAGATCAGACATAAAACAATAATGGGTTTAACATCAAAATGTATTGTCTGATGCTAAAAAGTATGTTTTTATAATGTAACCTTCTCCACCTTGGTCAGTTTAAGGATAATTCATGCAGTTTTATAGTATTTATTTGAAAGAATTAAAACAGATTCATGTCTATCCTTTTATTATTCAGCTGGTTGAGATTGATATGGGATTTTGAAAGTAATTAGTAATTAAAAGTAATTAAATACTTTTTAAAGAGAGTAATCAGTACAGTAATCTAATTACACTGTTGAAGAGGTAATTGGTAACTAGTACTTTTTTAGAGTAACTTACCCAACACTGAATGGGCTCTATGCACGGCGGTATTTCCGGTGAAGGATTAAGGATGCTCGATAACTTCCGCCGATCGTAGAGTCCAATGCAATACCGAGAATTTATATTGAATTTTATACTCCATGGTTATACTAATGAAACGTTAGTCACAAAAACAGATAAAACAGACACCCCTCGTTGTGTTTATGCTTCTTTTTAAAATTATATTAAATAAATATAACTATATATAAAATTACATCTAAACGTATGTACGTTTCGTTTCAAAGACTGGAGGACAGTAAATTTTGAAGACTCTGCCATAATCCCGTTTTTTTTTTTTTTTTTTATTCTAACCAACAAAGTCAATATACAGTCAGAATTGCAATATATACAAAATGGAGAAAACAAAAACAAGCAGAAAAAACAAAAACAAAAAACAGACAGCCAGGGGGGGAGGCTAAACATTATATAAAAATATCAAAGGATTCACAAATCGAAATAGTTTTAATTGCTTTCTTATTGTGGGAATGAAGGATAGTTTTGATATATAATTGCATTTCTTTTTCAAGAACCAAAAACAAAGGTTTGGTTTTATTGTACTTACATTTATGTATATGGAATTTAGCATAAATTAAAATTAAATTTATAACATAGTATTCCTTCCTTTTATTTGAAGGAATATTATTAAAACCAGCTATAACATTTTCTAAACACAAAGAAAAAGAGGGGTCAATATTGTGAATTATAAATCTAGATAAGTCTTTCCAAAACTTTCTTACATGAGCGCAATGCCAAAACAGATGAAACAAAGTTTCAGGCAATGTATTGCAAAAAGAACAGTTCAGATCAATATCCTTTTTAAATTTAACAAGAAAATTATTTACTGGGTAGTACCTGTGTAAGATTTTAAAGCTAATTTCCTTTATTTTGTTTACCAATAAATATTTGTTTGGTAAAGTCCAGATGGCCTTCCATAACAGACCTTCAACCAGTCTATTCCAGTAAACAATACAGTTTGGCCTCGTGACAATATCTTTTTGAAACAATGAACGAATGGTTTTATTTACATTTACGACTCCGGGGCCAAAACAAATCTTCCCAATTTCAGTATCAAATAAATTAAAGGAAGTAAGGGGTGTAGTACTGGTTTGGTTATTAGCTCTGAATAATGCTAAGACCCCTGTAGGGATCGCATCCATGACAATTGAAAACTCCCTGGGCGTTACTGGAATTTTATGAAGATCTAAAAACTCAGAGTAAGTTAGCAGCATACCTTCTTGATTTAGTAATTGACCTACTCGTATTATACCTGCTGAAAACCATCTTTCAAAAAATAAGGTTTTGTTTTTAAATAATAAATTGTAATTGTTCCAAATTAAATATCTATGGGGTGAAAAATTATGCTTATATAAAAGGGACCAAGCCAGCAACATTTGTTTGTGAAAGCAAGACAAATTTAAAGGGATTTTCTCAATTTTATAGTTGCAAATCAATAGAAAATCAAGACCACCTACTTGGGAGAACACAAGATTGGGTATAAAATTCCAAAGGGAATTCGGATTTAGAATGAAATGTCTAATCCAATTTATTTTAAAAACATTATTTAAAGTACTGAAATCAAGGAAGTTTAAACCACCAGATTCATAATTATTCATTATTATAGACTTCCTAATATAGTGAGTTTTGTTTCGCCAAAGAAAATTAAATAATGCAGTATCAATAGATTTACACATCACCGAAACAGCGAGTGAAGTCGCAGTATAGACTAATCTTGACAGTCCCTCAGCTTTACATAACAAAACTCTACCTTTTAGGGATAAATCCCTCAAAAGCCAATGGTTCAGCTTTGCTTTAGCTTTCTGGAGAAGGGGATCAAAATTTATCTTACATCTAGATTTTTGGTCTTTCGAAATGACAATCTTTAAATATGTCACAGTCTCCTTTACTGGGATATTAGCAATTTGTTGTAATTGACAGTCTTTAACAGATAACAATTCACATTTGTTGATGTTTAAGTAAAGGCCTGAAGCTTTAGAAAAGGCATCTATTACTTTAAGAGCTGCTGACACTTGATGTTGATCTTTTAGAAAGAGTGCAGTATCGTCTGCTAACTGGGATATTATAATTTCCCTATTAGCAAAAGATATGCCTTTTAATTGGCTTGACTTAATATGGATATTCATGAGCTGAGTGCAAAACAAGAAAAGATAAGGGGAGATGGGACAACCTTGCCTTATACCACGGTTTAAATTAAATCTAGATGATGAACCACATTTAAGTTTAATAGAACAGTTTGCATTCCTATACATTGTCTGTATAGCGTTACAAAAAAAATCTCCAAAGCCAAACTTTTGTAAGGACCTAAAAATAAAAGCATGCTCCACTGTATCGAAGGCTTTATAGAAATCCAAGAAAAGAATAAATCCATCATCAGTACTTAAATGTGAATAGTCCAACACGTCTAGAACTAACCTTATATTATTTGAAATACATAATCCCGTTTTCCTCGGTTCTCCTCCGCTTAAATCTACACAACCGGAAATGGACGAGCATCCTTACGTCAAATGCGGAACTTATGCGTGCATATAGCCCATTACTCTTGATTCTCTTGATACTCATAATTACTTACTTGTTTCTGCCACAAAATAAAAAAGGAAATTGTGACTTTTTTCATGTTTATATTTCACAATTCTGACTGTTTCTCTCAATTGTGAGTTTCAAAATTCTGACTTTATTCCATGCAAATATTATATATTTTTCAATTCTGTCTTTTTTTCTTACAATTGTGAGTTTCAAAATTCTGATTTCATGCAATTGCAATTCTACATTTATTTCTATTAATTGTGAGTTTCACAATTTTGTCCGTCATGCAATCGTGAGTTTATTTTTTGCAATTCTGACTGTATTTCTCTGGAAATTCTGATATTATTGCTCACAATTAAAAAGTTTCAAAAGTTTCTGATTTTCACATATTTGCAAGTTTATATGTTGTAATTTTGACAATTTCACGCAATTTGTAAATTTCACAATTCTCCCTTTAGTTATTTTGAGTTTATAATTTGCAAAAAAGTCTGAATTGTGAGATAAAGCGTTGCAGTTTTATTTTTAATTTTTTTTTTTAAGTTTCCTGCGTCAAATGCTGAATTTATGCGTGCATATAGCCCATACTGATTAGAGTGTATATATGACTGTCAGAAAATGAAGTACAATGTGATGAAACTTCAAAAAAGGCGTTAAGGGAATAAATTAAAAGAAGAATTATGATGTCAGATTACATATTGATTATTGTTTTGTAAAAGTCTCTTGTGTGGCAGGTTGAGATTCACTGATCTCGAAGATCCCTGTGTGTGTGTGTGTGTGTGTGTGTTTGTCTCCAGAAGCATGTGAGTGGAGAGAGACTCTGGAAACATGTGTGTGTGTTTCTTTGTTTAGAGTTCCAGAGGCATGTGGGTGGATTGAGACTGACGTGTGTGTGTGTGTGTGTGTGTTTATGAAGAGAGGCGGGTCTAAAGGGGGAGTTCCAGACCGCCGAGTGACGACTGCAGTTTCTCCAGCTCTTTCTCACACACACAGACACACACACTCTTTCTGCAGAAGAATATGTTCACCGACACTGACTCTGAAGACGAACACACTCTGAACGAGGAAACAAACACTCAGACATGAAGAGCAGAAGATCAGGAGGAGGACAGAGGTGAGCGCGATGTTAGTTCATCTTATCATACTTCCAGAAATACTCTGATATCAACTGATGCAATAGTAACTAAGATTAGTAAACACTTTGGAAGTATTGTTCACTTTTAGTTTACGTTCATGTTTAACTGATTTTAACTAATGAAACCTTATTGTAAAGTTTTTCCATTTAGCTTTCAAAATAAATTAATCTGTATAATAGGTTAATAGAATTTAAATTATGAAAAATGTAGGCCTACTCATATTTGAACGGTTAAGAACATGATTCTGATAAACACACTTTACAATTAATGCCAAAAGTTGACATGTTTGAGTTTACTCCGTGTTCTTTGTCGCTATCACATGTTAAAGGAGTAGTTCACTTTTAAAAAACTTTTGCTGATAATTTACTCGCCCCCGTGTCATCCAAGATGTCCACGTCTTTCTTTCTTCAGTCGAAAAGAAATGAAGGTTTTTGATGAAAACATTCCAGGATTGTCTCCATATAATGGACTTCAATGGGGACCAAACGGTTCAAGGTCCAAATGACAGTTTCAGTGCAAACTGTTCAAAGGGCTTTAAACGACACCAGACGATGAATAAGGGTCTTGCTGTCATCTGTTACAGATCAGTGTGTTCTGCTGCAGGAATCTGTAACCCAGCGCAGACTCGTGTGTGTGTGTGTGTGTGTGAACCCGGCTGCAGGTGTGACGAGTGAGACGTGAGGATGAACAGGTGTGTGTTGCTGCGCGCGAGTCTCCTGCTGTCTCTGCTGTGTGTCTGCGCTCGCGTCCTCGTGGAGCTCAGGGGTTCGAGTATGACGCCGCCGGGTCGAGTCTGGGAACCGGCCGTTACCGTGGCAACAGATGCTGCGACCGTGCGGACGCATCGCCGGCGGGTGAGGGAACACATATTAGTCACGATTAAAACAATTATAAAGAATTCAATTAATTCAAATAAAATAATAATACTTTTTATTTACATAAACTATGAGTGGCACTATATTAAAATATTGTAATTAAAATAATTAAATTAATGAATCAAAATAAATGTACTTTTATTTGCATAAACTAGGAGTGGCACTATATTAAAATTATTAAATCAAAGAATTTTAAGTAATTAAATTAATTCATTAAAATAACAATATTATATATTTACATTAACTAGAATAATTAAATATTAATACATTAATGCTAAAATAATTGAATGTTCTTTAGGGTTTGCACAATTTATTACTCACAAATTTGTGCAACGTTATTAATTTTTAAAATAAAGAGATTCAAAAATAATTTTTTATATGACATGAAAACAAAAATTCTTATAAAAATTCCATTGGCTTTTTAAGATTTTATGGGTTTCCATGACTTTTTCCAGGTCTAGAAGTCTCTGGTCTCTAAAAAATATTAATATATTTATGAAGATATTGATCACTTGTGTGGGAAGTGCTGATGATGTCACACTCTCAGATGAAGCAACTTCAGATTCAGATTCAGACGCTGAAACGCGCTTCTGTTCTCAGTGTTCCTGTGTGTGTCAGAAACACTCGCACACAAAAGCACATTCATGCTCTCCTGCAGAGAGAGAGAGAGACAGGGCCTGACCTCTGACCCTCTGAGTCTAACACCACACACACACAGATCCCCTTCAGTGCACTAAACTGACTCGTATATAAATATGCATGATTATAATGTGAGCTTATTAACATATGACCGCCCACATTTACTCGGTTGACTGACATTATAAAAGATAACGCGTTAATCTGACATTAATGAAGTAGAGAATAGAGCTTAAGGAAGGGTTTATCGACTGGATTGGGACCGTATGAAGGGTGTGGTACACATAAAACATTATTGAGACAGAATGGAAATATTCACAACTGTCTTTGGTATTAGAAACAGATTCAGAGAATCTCAGACTATAGAATAAATGATCAAGAACGCATTAAACTGATATTAAAGACATTTATAATGTTACAAAAGATTCTATTTCAAATAAACGCTGTTCCTTTGAACTTTTATTCATTATAGAATCCTGAGAAATAAAACGTATCACAGTTTCCAACAAATTATGAACACTGATAATAATCGTAAATGTGTTTTGATTATTATGTAAATGTGTTCTGGAGTAATAAAGATAAATTCAGCTCTGATCACAGGAATAAATTAAACTTACTATATATTCACATACAGCTGATTTAATTGTAAAAAATAATATTTCACATTTTTTACTGTATATTTATGATCAAATTTGCTCATGCAAAGAGCCCAAACAGAGCTGGACGAACTTCTCATGCAACAGAATGAAAATATTAGTGTTAATGATATTCCCTCATAACAAACTCTTTATTGTAAATCATTGTATATATAGTGTACAATACTATAGTATTGTTTATTGTACTGTAAAGCAGCAGTGACTGTGTGTGTGTGTGTGTGTTCCCCAACCGAGTGTGTGTCAAACACGAGGAACTGAGTGGATCCAGATGTGCAAACAGAGCTGATCCAGAACCTGCCAAGAAACGCGCGTTCGTGGATCACATGATCTCCTTTAAGAGCTTCTGTAGGGGTTATTATCCGTAGGAATCCGTGATGCTAATTTAATCAAAAAAAATTATATATATATATATATATACACATACCCACTTAGAGGTGAAACTCAAAAAAATTGAATATCATGCAAAAGTTCATTTATTTCATTATTTAATATTTGGGTTTTCATAGCTATAATCCATAATCATCATAATTATAACAAATAAAGTCTTGAAATATCTCACTTTGCATGTAATGAATCTGTATAATATATTAGTTTCAGCTTTTGAGTTGAATTACTGAAATAAATGAACTTTTGCATGATATTCTAATGTGTCAAGGTTCACCTGTATGTATATATATTCAGTATATATAATAAAAGTAATATATATATATATATATTATAGTTTTTGCAATTTTGTTGTTTTTGTCATTTGTATTAAGTTTTTACTTTAGTTTTAATTTTTAAATCAAGTTAAACTAAATTAAAATAAGAAATTAGGGGTGAAATAAAAATTATTACATTTATTTTTACAGGGCTATTATAGTTAACAAACTAAAACCATAAAATAGATTTTTCGCTACTTATAATCAGCATTACTTTAGTATAATTGAGATACTATTATAGTTTTTTTATACGTATTTTGAATCTGTTTTTATTTTTATATTTTCTGTTTTCATTTTACTTCGACTAATTTAGCAGGTTTTTGCCCTTTTTTAATAGTTTTTCAATCATTTTTGGTCATTTTGGTACATAAAGTGAAACTAAATTAAAATGAGAAATGTTGCCCAGGCAAATCAAATATTTTATCAGTCAACGTTTATTTTGCTTTAAATAACGGATATGTTTAATGGCTTTAGTTTCATTTTTAGTAAACTATAATAACCCTGCTTGAAATAAAATTCTACATTTCTTGTTTCCATTTAGCTTAACTCTATGATAACTAAAAACTAAAATAATAATTCAAAACTATATAGACATATTTTTCAAACACAACTAATACAAATGACAATACTAAAAAACTTGAACTAAAAGTCAGATATATACAGTATAGAATATTATAGAATATTGAAAATATGATCGCAGAGAAGAACGAGAGAAAATATTTACTAATGTTTGTGAAGTAGCCGAGAGGATGATGATGATGATGATGAAGAGGTGACCGTAATAACCCAGATGTTGCACTCATGCCGACCCCGGGTTTGTTTGACATTCGTAAGAGGGACGGAAGAATGCAGCTGGAGCCAGAGAGTCCAACTCTAAAAATAGAAATATAGTAGAAAAACAGGAGCATTTCTAACAGAGTTTGAGGGAGGATTAGACGCCACAGATCTGCGATGATATCGATAACAGATACACTTACTGTTGATGTTTGTGCCGCTGTTTTCCCGCCAAAACGACTCGGTCTGTGTGTGTATGCGTGCAGATTCCCCGATGGAAGATCGACCTGGCGCCGTGGGCCGCCGAGACTCGCGGTGTTCAGGAGGAGGCCCGTCGGTTCCTCAGATACATCTCCACACCACAGGTACAGCCTCACGCTATCAGACGACTATTCGGACGAGTCAATAAAACGTGGTTAATTTGTACATACGATGCGTCTAAACCCACGCGATGGGGACGTGTAGGGGCGGGGTCAGGTGTAGGACGCTCAAGTCATGTTGTATGAATTCGTACGAAATGCCGTGAGATCGGTTTGGTACAAGCCTACTCTTCAAGCTGTTGTTCGTTCCGGAGTTAAAGTGCCGGATTATGCTAATTTAAAGACTCCTACAACATGTTTACATTCATCCAAGGTCAAAAAACACTTTAGTTTTCTCATAATATCCACTGCAGCATCAGTGTGTCTGAAACGCTGCGTTCGAAGATTCAGTCTCTCTAAACTCCGCCTCTCTGAGAGCTTCTCAGCTGTGATTGGTCAGAAATGAAACACTCATTATCATATCTGAGTCTCAGCTCTTGACGCACAGTGATATGAACAGTAACGATGGCATGGGTTTTCCCAAATGTTTTGGTCTATATCGCTAATGTTGTCCTTCATGACGACTGTGTGAATATTTTTATAACTCATCCGTTTAAATTATATTAAGCCTTAAAGTTGTGTATAATTAAGGGCGTGGCCACTTGGGTGACAGGTAGATTGCCGCTGATGTCACTGCTAGCCGTTTGTCTGCTAATCCCCAGCTAATCCGCCTCGCTGCACGTTCATTTATCCGGGAGTGACGCGGCCAAGATGGCGATGGATGGCTCCGCCCACTTTGGTCACACACACTACGCACATATATATTTAGTCTATGGTTTTGCCGTATCAATCTCATCAAAGTGGATTTGCTTCGTCAGCAGAAAACAGCGTCTTCTCGACACGAACCGAACTCTTCCATCTCAGACACACTACAGTATTTGAGGGCGGAGCTAAGAGACGCTATTCAGCCAATCAAGACCAGAGGAATTTGCATTATGCAAATTAGCTACAGATTAAGCAGGAAGTGAGACTGAATTACTGACGATTATAAACGACTATGATGACTGGTGTGTTTGAAGGTGTCCTGCGAGAGACCGGCGTCCGTGCCGCCCGTGTTCGACAGAGAGGATCATGGGGCGTGGGCTCTGTGTTTGGACCACAGGTTCAGTCTGGCCCAGCGAATCGCATCCAAACACTGCCGCGTTTATTCTCTCAGGTCAGTCTGCTTCTGTTTCTGCTGTTTATGTGGTGTGTTTAATACGCTTTAAGGCAAACCATGTGTAAAGTCATGTCGACAGTATTGCTGAGTAGTGTGTGTGTGTGTGTGTGTGTGTGTGTAATGCTCTACAAACTAAAACGCTGGCATTATAATACACATGTGTGAAACTCCTGCCCTGCAGCTTCTCCTCATTATACAGTCAAACTTCATTAGCAAACGTCATTTATACAGAGCTTTACTGAAACCTCTCGCCGCAGGTCTTTAGCGGTCACTCAAGGGTTTTTCAGTCCCGTCCAGCTGTGCAACCACTGTTCCTTTAACTTTGAACTCGCAAACTATCTGTGTCTCGAGGAACATTAAGTGCCTTGGCTATCGTTTTAAATCCCGTTCCTTGTTTGTGAAGGCCGATGAAATCTTCTCTTTTTGGACCGTTCTTTCAAACGTGAGCCTCAACGCGCCTCGCCAGTTCAGATGTTTCATGTGTTCTAGCTCAAGCACACCTGGTGCAACTAATGAAGCCCTTGATTAGTGAGACAACCCTTGCGGATTGATCTGTTGTGAAGCGAAAATAACAAACAAACAAATCTGTTACCTTAACCCTTATGCTGCATTAGGGACATTTTTGGTCTTTTGCAGTTTAATTTCTTTGACCATTTTGGCTGTTTTAATGCAAATGGTATGAAATTTGGCAAAATTGTGACTTTTTGGATGCATGTAAAAAATGTGAACCCATTTTGCAAAATATGTATAACACACACTGTGTAGATCAAATAGTAACACTCAGCACCATAAAGACCAAAAATGGCCCATTGAAACCCATTAAAACTGAGGCTGTCAGTAATACATGAAACATGATTTTTGCACAAACATCCTTTCATTTTGAAGCAAAAGCATTATATTTGCATTATATAGTGATGACGTCACTACATATTTATTCCCTATGGGTGGAAATGCACCTTATTTTAGGCAATAGGCAATGTTTAATAGGTGGCCATTTTTGGTCTCTAACGCGCTAAGTGGGATTTTTTGCAAAGTGGGACTGTGATAATCCAAATCTAAAGTTTTCTCTTTGCATTTAGTTTATTGAAAATAATTGAATTTTTGTGTTTTTTCCCTCTTATACAAATCGATGGTTTCGCAAACAAAACTGGTAATTAAAGGGTTAAAATCCTGAAATTGAATACATTTTTGGTAGTTATGATGAGGACTGATGCTGGTTAAAAGATTTAACTTGGTAAAAGTGGAAAATAATAATAATAATATATAATATTTTAGGCAATTTTTAATATGTGGCCATTTTTGGTCCTTAATGCACTCAACGGTGTTAAAAATCTAATGCAGCACAAGGGTTAAATTACATGTTTATCTCTGTAAAGATGCTTTGAAACGATCTACATTGTTAAAAGCGCAATATAAAAGAGGATGACTCGAGGGAATCGGTTCAGGGGGTTGAATATTTTTGAAACTGCAGAAGTCTTAAAATAGCAAATTTTAGTTTAATTTTGGGAAACCACTTGAAATGTTTGTTGTGTTGAGCTATTTTAATTATGTGTGTGTGTGTAGGCTGGCAGCGGATGACGACAGGCTGGAGCGGATGCTAGCCGGATCCGGCTGTGAGGTTCACTGCTTCGACCCGAGCCTCAGGTCAGCTCATCTACAGGAGGAACACATGTGGCTCCACCGGCTCTCCGTCGACTGGAGGGACCCTAACCCTGACCGACTACACACACACACACACACACAGCAGGAGGAAGATCAAGGACATACTCAACAGCTTCGGCCATAGACGGGTGACACACACACTAACCCAACCCATCACACACACACACTCTCTCTCCCTTTAATCACAGCTCTAAAGACACTATCATGAAGGTTATTGATTGTGTGTGTGTGTGTGTGTGTGACGCACAGTTTCCAGCAAACACACCTAAAGCTTCACGTTTGCTTTCCGTGAGAATCAGTGTGAGACACGAGTGTGTGTGACGTGGCCGATCTGCCTGAGAAACAGAAATAGACGGAGAGAACGCATACAGGAGGAAGCTAATGAATGAAATATGTGCTTGTAATTATGGCAGAGGATATGATAGATTTATGACTCCTGCATATGGATGTACTGAAGGAGCCAAAGAAGCGTTTCAGCTGCAGACTCTAGTGAGATCTTAACACGATTGATTCAGTGCATGTTATTAAACAACGGTCGTCATCAAAATATAATAACTTAATCTCTGTTGTTTTGGGAATCTGCACACACACACACTCCTCTCTCTCTCTCTCTCTCTCTCTCTCTCCAGCTTATGAAGGATAAAATGCATCACATTTAACATTCATGCATTTGATTTGCATATAAAATTTCCTTCCGGAACATAAACCTAATAAACTTAATGTGATGCATATTTGTCAGTGAAACATAAAAAAAGAAGTTTGAAAATATGTGTATGCATGCATGTATTTATATATATATATATATTAGGGCTGTGCAAAAGTTAATTGCGATTAATTTCATCCAAAATAAAAGTCTGTGTTTACATAATATATTTGTGTGTGCTGTATATAATTATTTTGTAATATAAATACCTATGCATGCATGTATATATTTAATAATTATTTGTGCTTAAATTCTGTATATATATATATATAAATATATAATCTATATTATATAAATATTTTATATATGAATAACACATTTTCTTAAATATATGCATGCATGCGTGTGTATATTTATATATACAAAATAATTATATACAGCACACACAAATATATTATGTAAACACAGACTTTTATTTTGGATGTGATTAATCGCAATTAACTTTTGCACAGCCCTAATATATATATATATACTGTATATTTACAAACTTGTGTGTTAGATGCAATTAATCGCGATTAATCGATTTGACAGCTGTAGTTTAAACTAAATGTCTTCATAGTTTAAAGACCGATAATATTAATTACATTTCATTTCTAATCTGATCTAATCGAAATAAAATTGAACGTACGTCCTGAAGTTTAACACAGAGACGAGACTCGTTCTGGGGCCGCAGAGGAGAGGCTGTACAGCGAGTGTGTGACGGGCTGCTGGTTTCATCTCTCGTGGGTGTGTGTTCAGTAATCCGGGTCAGTCTCCGCACTGCCCGTCCTCAATAAAGTGTCCTACTTCTCCTGTCCTGCTTAAAGAGACAGAGCCGGGGTTTGAAGTTAACACGCGGCAAATGCGGGTAAAAATCAACTGCGGTGGGTCAAATCGTTCGCAAAGCCCCGCCCCCTTTATTTACTGTTGCTATGTCTGACAAGCCACGCCCCTCTCATGTTCTCACGCAGTGAAACACACATCGCAGAGCAGAGGACACTGACAACACACTGACAGACCAGCTTACGTTTGATATTTTTACCCTGTTAAATGTTTAAATTATTTCCGCAACCGAAATACCGATCAAAAGTAAGTGCGATTATGAATTTGAATATTGATGGCATTGGTCAAATTTGACGAACTAAGGCAAGTCGTATATCAAACAAAACCTTTCTTTCTGAGGATTTTTGCTACATGGTTTATTTCATTCAACAGATCAAATGATTGCAGAATTAGTCGCGAAGTACATCTTTGATATTTGTAAGTTGCATTTCGTCTCCGATTACAGCATGTCTGAGCTAAAAGTAGTCAAAAATATATATAGACTTTCACAAAATGAGTCCATTTTCACTTTCATGTGAGTTTCGCTTGAGATTATGTCTCATTTAGTCCAGTAATGCAGGAAATAAGTCGTTGTTTTCATGCGATCCACATGATATGTTATTGAAATACACATCATTGGAAAGCTTATAATCTCAGCATTACGTGTCGTGGACACATCTTTCCTCTAAACCAACCAGAGTCTGAGATATTCAGCATGCAATTTTACCTCAGACTAAAAAAAAAGTACAGATATTCTGCGTTTAAACCAAATCTGTGCAAATTTAGCGCAAATACTGATCGTCACGATATATTAAATACAGGTTATTGCGCAGAAATCTTGTGAAAAGGGAATAATACGTCACCTGTGCTGCCGTCAGGTGGATGTCCTGAAGCTGGACCTGGAAAGCGCGGAGTGGAAGGTCCTGGAGAACCTGGTTCTGGAGCGGGTTCTGGACTCGCTGGGTCTGCTGCTGCTGGAGCTGCACCTGCACTGGCCCGGGTTCGAGGTGGGCGGAGACGAGCCCTCGGTGATCCGCTATTGGTTCAGCCTCCTCAGGGAACTGGAGCGCGCTCATTACCGGCTCTATCACAGTTACAGCGACCCGAACAAACCTCGTCTGATCCTGCACAGAAACATCCAGAACGCCAGCAGCTCCTTCGTCCTGGGATGGGTCAACACTCGCTTCGTCCCGCAGGGATGAGCGACGACTATTCAGAATGCAAAACTCAGTGGCCGATTAAATCAAGCAGAACCTTCCCAGTCTCTCACTTAGATACGACACTGAGTGATTATCCTGCAGTTCCTCCACTGGCCACTAGAGGCGCTGCAGGAGAGACTCACTCCCATAGACACGCATGTTAAAACGGCCAACTTTACAGCAGAATAAAACATGTTTACAGTCTGGTGCTAAAAGTGTCTTTGGTCTGAATCGCTAATGTTGCCCTTCATGACGACTGTGAGGGGGTGAATATTTTTATAACTCATCCGTTTAAATGATATTAAGCCTTAAAGTTGTGCATAATTAAGGGCGTGGCCACTTGAGTGACAGGTGGATTGCCGCTGATGTCACTGCTAGCCGTTTGTCTGCTGTGTGTTAGCATCACGTCACCTCAGCTGATCCGCCTCGCTGCACATGTTCGTTTATCCGCGGCTCCGCCCCCAAAACGCTCTTCAGAAACACTACGGGTGACGTCACACACACTACACACATATTTATTTACAGTCTATGGATTAAGTCAATGAGGATGTGAATACCAGACACAATTAAAGATGTAAAACTCCCACTAAACTCATTGTTTGCTTTCAATTTTACTCTTCTGACAAGAAATAATCATAACAATAGAGATAAAAAAAGTGTTAAACAACATGTAATATGGCAGTATATGAACATGTTATCGAACATATTATGTATTATGCTGTTACTACGGTACAGTGATGATTAGTAAAGGGTATTGTAGCAAATTATGTAATAATGTTACAAGCTTTCTATTTCAGATAAATGCAGCACAGAAATCGTTAATAGCATCAATTGTTTTCAATATGAAAAATATAATTGCTATATTTTGTTAGCATGATATAAACATGAATTTATGAACGTCGGGACACTTTTTCCAGTCATTTCAATGTGAGAAAGTGGCTGACTTCAGCTGAATACACTCAACATTGTGTACAAATACCAGGCGTATGAATAGATTTATAAATGTCACATTCCTTGAGAGTTGGAGGAGTAAATCTCAGGCAGTGCATTCTGGGATTGCCTTATTTGGATCATTTTGATTCAAGAGTTTATACTGGAAAAGGTCTGAATAAACTAAGAAACACCTTTTTGTCATCTGTTATACTGGAGATGATTCTGATTGATAATTTAATCTGCATTTCTAGAAACAATAACGCTGGCTTAATCAGGTTATGGTATAAAGCAAATTCCATATTTTGAATATTTTGTGAGGTTGTGCACTTGTCATATTTGCTTCTGTGGAGACACCATGTGTGATTTCCCTTTAAAATAAGATATGTTTAAAAGCAAAATTATCAGTGAAGGACTAAATTACCCACAATGCCAAAGAGAATGATGAATAAATATTGATATTTTCAAGCGATTTAAAAAAATGAAAAACTTTATATGTATAATAAAAGCTGCCAGTAGGTGGCAGCGAGTCACCGGTAATGAGCGAGTCATTTAGATTCAAACGATTCACTCATGAACTCATGAACAAAGCATTTGATCGAATGAATGATTCAATGACTCACTCATTAAGACAATCGATTCGTTCACTCCCTAATGTCTTCAAACAGCTATTTCGTTGGTGAAATGGAGCAAAAACAGGCAATATTGTCTCTAAAATGTAAGTCGCTTAATATTAACTACTTGTTTATTGAAAATCAATAATTTAAAATCAATTTACAGGAAAAAAAAAACTATTTGATTAAGTATCCATGTAAACACAGTCGGTTATGTTATGTAAACAGTTTTAACATTAACAGTTTAAGAGAAGAATAAAATGCGTTCGCTCTTAAAGTGACAGCGTCGTAATAATCCTGATGCTAATCGAACAACGAAAGACAAAAAAATCGTTCACTACTAATAATTTTGTAGCTTTAAAATAATGTTTATTTAATTTACGTTTGATTACTTTATGTCTGTGCCGGAAAGCACTGTTTATTTCATCTATGCATCTTAAATTAATCCAATAGAAATTAACACACGCATGCATTTTAAACCTTGCTAATTAATCTAATCTAAACCTTGCTAATCTATTTTGACGTTTGACTCCGAGAGAGGACGCGAAAACGAGGTTTGTCATGTTAAATGATAGAAATATAAAAAATACTGAGGGCATTATAAATGCATTTTAATAGATCATTAAAACAACAATTGCGATATTATAGTAGACGATACACCCCAAATGGACAAATACTTCCAGAAACCAAAACACACACAGCAGAAAATAAACGAGAGACATTTATTATCTTCAAAAACATGTTTCATTCATTAAAAAAAAGCATGAGCTGAAAGTCTGTGGCGTGTGTGTTTAGGGACTGGATACCAGCCCGATAACACCCGCATGAGCAGCTCAGTGTGTGTGTGTGTGTGTGTGTTTGTTCCTCAGTCCCAGAGTTTGATCAGCCCGTCCCAGCCACAGGTGATGACCTTGGAGGTCTCGTGAGGGTGCCAGAGCGCGCTGATACACACCTTATCGTGCGCCTTGATGCGATGGTACAGCTTCGTCGTCTTCCAGTCCCAGATGTTCAGCTTCCCGTCCGCGTCACCTGACACCACATAACTGCAGACATCATACCAAAATATTCATGCATTCATATTTATGAAACGGCTGGTTGAGTCATCATGGCCAAAATGTGTTTACACACTCTAGTTTAAACCATCAAGGCATATTTTCCACAATGATTTTCACTAACAAGAACGATATTGAAGCTTTATTATTTATATCATCAATTCAATCGTAATGTGGCTTAAGTTATAAACTCACTGTTTATATAGAAAATTATAATAATAATAATAATAATGAAAGCTGGTACACATTAAATTTTCCTTAAATACTTTTGTTACAGTGAAATAGTGCAACAGTAATATTTCTTAATTTGTTTTAAATAAAAAAAATATTATGTAACAATTAAATCATAATTATTCATTGTAATTTTACAGCTGTACTGCAAATTTAAATTATTATATATTTTTTATTAGATACTTTAAAGTGAAATGGTACAAAATTTATATTTATTTGTTTTAAATAAACATTTTGTAATAGTAGTAATTATAATAAAACCATAATAGTTCATTGTAATTTTACAGCTGTACTGTAAATAAATTAATTTAATATGTATTTTACAGTGAAATTGTCCAACAGTAAAAATTCTTAAAGGGCATATTGCAGGTTGGAGGACCCAACGAGTCAATGCATAGAAAAACAATGTAGGAACTAGATTTTCTTTAAAATATACGTATAAACACGCCACAGAAGCTTCTGCAGTCGTTTTTGTGAGAAAATTTTACTTCCGCGTCTGAAAATGGGCGTGGCGGGCGTGACGCAATGAGCGGGAGAGCGGTCGATTCACACAACAGGAAAACAATGAATCGCAATGACATTTCGGACGCTGAGGAAACACTCGTATGACGGATCAAGCCATAAAGTTATGAGCCTGCTATGCTAAAGAGATCAGGGACAGGCCAGGATAATGTCAGACAGAATGGTCAGAGAAAAATTGAGCTGTGATGTGAGGAGAACCAGTGGAGAACAGGACAGGTGCCTTTTAGGTGAGAGACGTACTTATAGTATACACGTTCGCTAACGATATACACTGTGCTCACAATATTGTACAGATTATTATGATCCTATAACAGGCCAGCAGACATTAGTATGTTTAGGGTAGATTTATATACTATTAAATGTATAAAAACTTTACTTGAGTATATTTCTATACTAAAAGCATAGGCTATACTCGGGTAAATTTTTAATACATATTTTTCACCTTGGTTATAACATAAACAGAACATTAAAGGTTTGAGTATTTAAACAACCAATTTTGTTTTTCAATTACAAGTTTTATTTAGGGCATGACATGACTAAGTTACCTATATAACACTATTTGATGCCATTGGTAGTATACGACGATCAATATGCTTCGGCATACCATGTTGAACTCCATCATATTGCCGGGATGCTAATCATTTGATCTGAAGTGAACGCTACACACGACCGTGTTTTCCGAGCCGAGAGGAGAAATCCCGTCTCTTCACCTGCTCAACCCGCACCAGGAACGAAAGATAGGCTATATAGCACAGTCACTTTTATTGTAATGGAAACTTGTGGACTCGATCTTGAAGTCCTGACAGGCTGGAGTTTTTGCAATCTCCACAAACACAATATTTACCATGACGATGATAAATTAAAATGCAAAAACTAACGAAAGCACACTGACTGACGAGCGCTCTCACTGAACACCAGCCTGCTCTCACTGAGCCGAGGCTGCGGCTCCCTGCTATGACGTCAAATGACGCGACGTTGAAAAAAAAGCCGTTTTTACTAGCAGTCCAAGAAACGCTCACTTTATCTTCTAAATTAGTGTCCTTATGTTGTTTTAAAACATTTTAAATCCTGCATTAACTTTTCATATGGTATTTTCATACAAGGTTATCTATAAATTTCGATTTTTTTTTTTACCTGCAATATGCTCTTTAATGTTTTAAATAAAACATTTGTATTTGGTAATAATAATTTTAAAAAAAACATAATTAATTGTAATTTCACAGATGCACTGTAATTTAAACGGACTATATTATTTTACTTAAATACTTTTATTTTAAAGTGAAATAGAGCAAAATGTATATTTCTTTGTTTTAAATAAAAATTTGCATTAGTAGTAATTATAATAAAACTATAATAATTCATTGTAATTTTACAGCTGTATTGTAAATTATTTTAATTTAATAATTGATTTAATTTCAGTACAGCTGTACTGTAAATAAATTAATTTAATATGTATTTTACAGTGAAATTGTCCAACAGTAATAATTCTTAATGTTTTAAATAAAACATTTGTATTTGGTAATAATAATTTAAAAAAAAACATAATTAATTGTGATTTCACAGATGCACTGTAATTTAAATGGACTATATTATTTTACTTAAATACTTTTATTTTAAAGTGAAATAGAGCAAAATGTATATTTCTTTGTTTTAAATAAAAATTTGCATTAGTAGTAATTATAATAAAACTATAATAATTCATTGTAATTTTACAGCTGTATTGTAAATTATTTTAATTTAATAATTGATTTAATTTCAGTACAGCTGTACTGTAAATAAATTAATTTAATATGTATTTTACAGTGAAATTGTCCAACAGTAATAATTCTTAATCTTTTAAATAAAACATTTGTATTTGGTAATAATAATTTAAAAAAAAAACATAATTAATTGTAATTTCACAGATGCACTGTAATTTAAATGGACTATATTATTTTACTTAAATGCTTTTATTTTAAAGTGAAAT